AATAGAGAAATAGATTCCATCTCTCTTCAGAGAGAACCTAGTTCACTTCTGAAAGTCCCATCTGTATAGGCCAAACTTATCTAGAATAATTCCCTTTCCTAGTTGAAAAATCAACTGATCAAAGACCCTAATTACACCAGCCAAGTCTTTTCACCTTTGTAATGGAATGTCATACAATCATGAATGTGACATCCCATACTATTGCTATATTCTTTTGTTGTTGTTGGTGGTGGTGGTTGTGGGCTTGAACACAGGGCCTGGGCACTGTCCTTGATCTCTTTCTGCTCAAGGCTAGCACTCTACCACTTTGAACCACAGCTCCAAAGTTAATTGGTTAATTGGAGATAAGAATATCATGGACTTTCCTGGCAAGGCTGGCTTTGAACTGTGATCCTCAGATCTCAGCCTGCTTGAGTAGCTAAGATTACAGGTGTGAACCACGAGGGCCTGGCTAATGCAATATTCTATTCATTAAAGCAAGTCATGGTTTTTGTTCTTCCACCTTTGAAAGAAAGAGATTATGTAGAGTATGGCATCAGGAAATTGTTAAGGTTCATCTTGGAATTCTGCCTGCTACTAGGATAGTTCAAGAATTAAACCTTTACATTAAGTTCTGTGTGAACCAGACTTCACATCACTGTGACAACATACCTTATGTGAACAATGTAAGGGAGGAAGGATTCATTCTGGTTCACAGTTTCAGAGTTTCAGTCGATAGTTATTGGCCCATTGGTGGGCTGCACTTGGTGAGTGTGAATACCATGGGCCATGGAAACATCTGGCAGAAGCTTCTCATCTCATGGTAGACAGGAAGTAGACAAGGGATAGGAAGGAAGAGGAGGAAGTGGAGGCAGAGCAGAAAGTGGAGGAGGAGGGAAGGGACAAGGGACTAAGTATAACCTTCAAAAGTATGTCCCAGATGAGTTACTTCCTCCAGTGATCTTTCCCTACTTTTAAAGTTTTCAACATCCCCAAATAGCACCACCAGTTGTGAAACAACTCTTGAATACAAAAGGGTTTTTTTCTTGGGGGTGGGGGTAGAGTGTATACTGCATTTCCAAATCATAGCAAATTCAAAGGAAAGATTTGATCATAAAAATAGAAAGATTTTTAGGTAACAGTAAATCTTGTTGTTGGTGGTGGTGGTGGTGGTTGCAGGGCTTGAACTCTAGGCCTGGGTGCTGTCCCTCAGCTCTTCAGCTCAAGGCTAGTGCTCTACCACTTGAGCCACAGTGCCACTTCTGGTTTTCTGAGTCGTTTATTGGAGATAAGAGTTTCATGGTCTTTTCCTGCCTGGCCTGGCTTTGAAACGTGATCCTCAGATCTCAGTTTCTTGAGTAGTTAGGATTACAGGCATGAGCCACCAGTGCCCAGCGGTAACAGTAAATCTTGTCAGAATAATCTCTGAGAAAAAATGAGAGAATTCCCAGGCCAACTTTGACAGTATTATCCTGCCAGACTTGTGCAAACACAACTAAAACAATAAAAACAGAAAGTCAGAGACCTTTTGAGACTCTATCAATCATTGGAATATAATACAATTCTGGGTAGATGGCAAATCCATCTGTCATAGTCTGATCTCTTTAAATGTGAACATGATCTGACTAATACTGAAATAACAAGCATATTTCCTTTAGGTTTAAAGTACTGACTACTTTTTTTTTTTTTTACAATTTTATTTTTTGCTTATGTGGTGCTGAGGAATCGAACCCAGGTCCTCAGGCATGCAAGGCAAGCGCTCTATCACTGAGCCACCTTCCCAGCCCAAGTACTGACTACTTTTTGAAAGAAGGAAATGTTATAATTCTGTGTTATGAAATCAGTAGTAGGAATATATGCAGATATGAATGAAGATAATGTCTAAAAGATTTTTAATGTGCAAATTATGTAGAGTGCTAAATAATTTAACAATTTTTGAGTATGTGTTTCTATATAATGCCCAAACATAATCATTTGGCATTCTTATAAAAATTATGATCTCCTTCTAGTCTTGCATACCAGTAGTTTCTCAGGGAAACCTGGCGTAGATTTTAAAATAACTTCACTTATTAGCTGGGTGTAGTGACATACACCTAAAATCCCAGTACTCAAGAGGATCAAGAAGAGTTCAAGACCAGCTTGGGCTACATAACAAATTCCAGGCTAGCCTGGAACCTGACTCTCAATAAATAAATAAATATAAATAACTTCACATATTGGAGCTATTATCCTAATTATAAAGATCTGCCAATCTTACACTGATCTATGGAATTCCCTGAATTTACCATTAGATACCAAATCCTCCAGTACTAATAAGTATTTAAGAAATCGATACTCTTATAACTACTCTAACTATGAAGCTGAATGCAGTTCCTACTTCCATCCACAAAGCTCAGCTTGGGAGATAAACACTGATGAAGCATTCTAGGTAGACTCAGCAATGAGACAAAAATGATATAACAAATCTGAGTCAGAAAGTATGACAAATGAATATTTTTGGACACTGGAGCACTGGGATTATCTCACAGAGAAAACCCTCACAACACTTGAACAAATAAACTTTCTCATGAGGCCATATATAGTATGCAATACAGTTTTTTTTAGTAAGAAACTAAACCTACATTTTTATCATTTTATACCAAAGTTTTCGTGTATGTAGTTGACTGGTGTGGAATGCTATTTGGACTGCTTTATTGGAACTGAGGTAAACAATACACAGTCCTACTGTCCCGAGCTACCATTCAGATGACTGGAGTCATGGGACTTTCAGCATAGCTAGCTGATGACAGTGAATACTATTCTGTCCCAAAATCCAGTTCAAGTGTAGCCCTACCAATTAGCTTATAAGCTCTTTATAGGCAAAGACCCAGAAACTGTACAGAACATAACATACAATGAGACTTCATATAGCCTTTTTTTGAACTAACAGAGGTAGGGTATTTCAGAGAGAGTTCATGCAATGATCAGAACTGCAGGATTCTGAGATCATAGCAAATTCTCAGTTTCTGCTTAACTCAATAAACACCCCCTTGTGCTTCTACTAAATGCAGGAATTGTGCTAGGTGCTGAGGACACCAAGTAGATGAAGTCACAGTCCCTGCTGGCAAGAAATTCCCATGATCCTCTGATTGTTTGTCTGCTTACTGTCACACTTCCTTCCAAAGAACCTCCAAGAAATGTCTACTGGAGAGAATCCTGGAATTCCACTGAATACAGCTCAACAGTCTCTTAATAATGACTCACACTATTTTGTGTAACTCAGGTTTTGTCTGCAAAATTGAAAATGTTTCAGTACCTACTTAAGCTTCAATGTTAAGGCTTTATTGTTGTTGTTTTACAATGCTGGGTTTCAAACTCTGGACCTTGTTCATGCTAGGCAAGTACCACTTCTGAGCTACATCCCAAACTCCAGAGTAGAGGAATTCTTTAATGAAGACATGTCATGTTAGGATGTGTGATACACAAGCTCCCTGGGGTGAATTATTCACTGACAATGATCTTTCCTTTACTAAACATTGTCCCTTGCTGACAATATGGTTAAAGGTTACTCAAATTGGGAGCTCAGGTATTAGAGCCACAAAACCAACTGATCATTTTTCTTTTCCCACTAAATCAAGATCAAGAGGGCTGGAGAATATTTTGTCTAGAAGGTTAAAAACATAAAGATGCAGAATTCCTTTGAACCTTTGCAAAATTTACTTTGGTGATCCTTAGCTGAGCAATGACCTTCATAACATATGAACTGCTCTGATTTCATGCACTGGGTGGGGAGAGGAGGCATTTCCATCAGGTTTAGTGACTTCAGTAGGTTTATGAAATACTTTGTCATTGATTGCAGGAACTTGAAAAACAGAGGAAGGGACTTCTGAACTATTCAGTGAAAGTCTGTTCATTAGAGTTTGTGTTTTTAAAATGTGTAACTCCTACTTGCAGTTGTAAAAGTTTGCTTTCCACCTACAAGTTGTCATTATCTCAAAGGTGAAATTTGAGCAGATGACTAAAACATCTTATAGCTTCAGCTTCATGATTCAGCATTTAACATCAATAATTCATAGTGAGATCATAGATTCTTGGTGTAAGGTAGTGACACACTCATTTGTCTTACAAAAGAAGCTCAGGGCTGGCAGATGGAGCGCATTTAGAATTTAGGTTGGGGCTGGTTTGTGTGGGTGTCAGATAATTTGTCCCTCAGCTGTACTTGTACTTGTGCAGAAGGACTTTTTTTTTTTTTAAGAACTCTTTGAAAGGTAAATTGGATGAGGATGGAGGGGTCGGGCTAGTATTTAGGATTTACTCAAGTGGCCACCAGCTCCCAGGGCAAAACCTCTGAGGTGTCAGTTTTCCAGTTACACAGTGTGGGGCGGGGGAGCCTTTCAGCTTTCTGTGGAAAAGATTCCAACTTGGTTGGCTGCCATCACTAAACACAAGTGTGTTGGGTTTTTCTTTTTTGAGCTTCCAACCCTTACAACCTCCCCCAAAATAAATCAAACCAGCCATCAGGGCACCGAAATAATACTACGACTAATAAGCAGCTTTGCCCTAGACTTACATAAACAACACTTCTGAAGTAAACTTTGCCCGGGAGGTCTGGGCACTTTTTAAATGTAACCTGCTTACTAATAATTACTAGACTTGAATGTATTAACCCCTAGAAATAGATTTTAATAGCAACCCCTTAAAACAAAAGACATGAAACGATAGTTAAGGGGGAAAAAAAGTGCACCAACTAGAAAAACTATTGGCAGGATCCTTCAGCCCAGTGCCAGGAGCCCAGCAAACGGCCCCCACCAACTCGGTCCAAGAGCCCGCTCTAGGACCCCGCCTTCCGGGTCCCGGATCCCGGGGACTCGACTCCCGCGTAGCTCCGCCCCCTTCCGGTCTTTTCAGCCTGGCTCCGGGAGCTGGGGTCAAATTGCCGAACCAGGGTAATTTGCATACCCAATAGCCACGCGGCATGCAAATGAGACGAGCTGTGGTTGGCTGAGTGTTGACCGATTAACTCAGGCGAGGCAGGCCCTTTGTCCTCCAGTAGCTGTGAGGCAGCTGCGGAGTAGGTGTCATTGGTCTTGGTTAAACCTAGGGTTCGCGAGCTTGCGGAGCAGGCGAGCGGGGCAGAAGGGGAGGAGGACAGCACGGCGCAGAGGCGGCGGCGGGTGCTGCCGAAAGAGCCCGGGCGGGCGAGAGGCTGCGGGAGCGCGCGGGTCCGGAGCGCACTGCACGGTGCCTGGGAGCGAGCGCAGAGAGCAGGCGCCCGCGCGCCCACGGTGGCAGGAGCAGCCCTCACGCCGCGCTCTCTGTGAGGGACCTGCAGTTGCAATATGACTTTGGAAGAATTCTCGGCTGGAGAGCAGAAGACCGAAAGGTAAGCTGCCGAGGCACTGGGCGGGTTTGAACCTCACGCTCCCTGTCCCGCGCACCTGGGTGCAGCGGGGCGCTGGGAAGGTCTGCAGAAGAGCGAGCGGAAAAGTTTGTCTGGGGCAGGTCGGGAGCTCGGGGACCCCGGAGGAGGGCGTCTGCAGCCCGAGGCAGCGTGCACCCAACCTGGGCCAAGTCCCTCCGGGGCGTCTGCAAAGGCAGAGGCGGCTTCCGCGGCTGGTGGCTTTGGCCCCCCGGGGAGGCTGGCCTGGGGGATGGCAGGGGTCATCAGGGGTGACGTGGCCCCGAGCAGCTCCGGGTTTGCAGAGCGGCGGGTGCGTGGAGCTCCGGGAGCGATGCAAGACGGGGGGTGGGAGGAGTGGAGGCGACGGCCCCCCGAGGTCCTCGGGGACTGACGGGCTCCCCCACCTCTGCCCGTAGGATGGACAAGGTGGGCGATGCCCTGGAGGAAGTGCTCAGCAAAGCCCTGAGTCAGCGCACCATCACCGTGGGGGTGTACGAGGCGGCCAAGCTGCTCAACGTGTAAGTGGGGGACCCCGCTGTCCCCTGGCGGCACCAGTTTCCCTCCCCAAGCAGCGGTGGTCGTCCACCCCCTCCCCGCCCCCTTCCCGCCTGCCATCCTCCTGTCCGGGATGGGGGGGGGGGAGTGAGCGGCCCGGGACGGCCCCGGGGCCGTGCTGGGGGGTGCGATGGGGTGGCGGGCTTCACAGGTCCCACCCGCTTGTCCTCAGTGACCCCGATAACGTGGTGCTGTGCCTGCTGGCCGCGGACGAGGACGACGACCGGGACGTGGCTCTGCAGATCCACTTCACCCTGATCCAGGCGTTCTGCTGCGAGAACGACATCAACATCCTGCGCGTCAGCAACCCGGGTCGTCTGGCCGAGCTGCTGCTGCTGGAGACCGAGGCGAACCCCGCAGCAGCCAGCGAGGGCGCCGCGCAGCCCCCCGACCTGCACTGCGTGCTGGTGACGGTGAGAGGGACGGGGGTCTGGAGGCCCGATCGGAGGGAGCGAGGGAGGGAGGAGCCTCGCCGGGGTGGCGAGGAGGGGACTGCTGGGTGCTGCCGCCTTTGCCCCGCTGGCGCGCGGCGGACTTTCGGCTGAGAGGTTCCAGTTTCATCATCAGGATTTTCTCGGGTACAGAACATGTCTAAGCACGTTGGCGGCCGCCAGCGGCGGAAGAGATCCCTGTGAGTCAGCAGTCAGCCCAACTACTCCCTGCTCCATCTGCACTACCTCGCGTGACTAATTCTTTTAGCAGGGCAGATTAGATAAAGCCAAATAAATTCCTGGCTCACCCCCTCATTAAGAAGTCAGCTTCATTCTCTGCCAGTCACGGCTAAAAATAGGATCGGTGTAAAGAGACAGGCCGGATGAATTCCCTAGAAATGCATTAAGGAGAGAGAATGGAATTTTTTTTTTCCTTTGCAAGCTTGTATTTTGTAATGGGCTTTCCCCACCCCCTTCCTGATAAAAACTTTCAGTGGGTTGATAGTGTGTTCAGAGATAAATGTGCTAGATTTTTTTTTTTTGATTCGTAGAGGGAAGTGGCAGCCTACTTACTTGGCTACTCCTGAAAAACTACAGGTGGCCAGGCCAGTTAACTGCTACCTAGCTCTCTGTGTTAGACACTTGGTGGAAACTCTTGCAGAATTGTTTTACAGCGGTTCTGCCATAGTGCAAATATGATAGTGTCACTAGGACAGCAAACCTGTGAGCGATTCTCTTGAGCAAAACTGAATAGACAGCAGTGTGGATTGCACGTGTTTATTAGAGCTTGCAGAATATAGGTCAGTAGATAATGACCCTTAATGATCTTGCAAGAATTCTGCACAGCTACTGAGCAGAAATTTTATTTCTTGGGCTTATAACTTGCCTGAAAATATAGTTATTATCATTTCAAAAATTGTGCAGTGATTAGCAAGTGCTGCTTTGCTTTTATGGGAAGTTAATTCTTCTAAATTTGTTCCCAGAATCCACATGCATCACAATGGAAGGATCCAGCCTTGAGTCAACTTATTTGTTTTTGCCGGGAAAGTCGCTACATGGATCAGTGGGTTCCCGTGATTAATCTCCCTGAACGGTGATGGCATCTGAATGAAAATAACTTTGAACCAAATTGCACTGAAGTTTTGAAATACCTTTGTAGTTACTCAAGCAGTTACTCCCTACATTGATGCAAGGATTACAGAAACTGATGTCAAGGGGCTGAGTGAGTTCAACTACATGTTCTGAGGGCCCGCAGATAGATGACTTTGCAGATGGAAAGAGGTAAAAATGAAGAAGGAAGCTGTGTCAAAACAGCAATACAAGTCAAAAGGAACAAAAATTACAAAAGAACTATGCAGGAAGGAAAACTCTGTATTAATTTAGGATGGCTGAGTTATATTGAAATAAACCAAATATGCTTTGTTAAACTTTAAATTTGCAGCAGTTAGTTTGGGTATTTTTTATTTGTATGCCCTCAAGTCCAAGAAAAGTTGAAAGGGTTAATCATTATTTTGAAACCATATTTTATTGTATTCTGGTGAGATGTTAAAATTCTCAAAAGTTTTATTATAAATTGTACTAAGTTATTTTATGACATGAAAGGTTATTTATGCTATAAATTTTTGAAACACAATACCTACAATAAACTGGTATGGAATAATTGCGTCATTTTTCAGTGTATGCTTTTTGTTTCTTGGGCTTTAGGAACAGGTAACCTGCTCCAGAAAAAAGTAGAAAAGTCAGTTGGAAAAAAAAAAAGTGGGATTAAGCGAGTTGAGGTTGGGGTTTGAGAAAAGAAAAAGTTAGAGACTCATCTTGCAAAATCTAACTACAATTGGCTTATGTTAGGTCAGTAAAATTGTATGCAAAGTGTCATTGAAGCAGAGAGGAAAGTTACTGAAGCTACTGAAAGGTGAGTGAAAATTTTCCTGAGAAGAAATCATCCTCTTTGGGTCTTTAAAAATGGGTCAGGACAGTGGAGAAAGGGATATTGGTAGTCACTGTACTTGTTTGTGCAAATGTGTGGAGGCCTGCAAGATCACAACCTGTTCAGGGAACTTAGTGATGCTTGCTTCTGGTGTAGAAAGATAAGGGAGAGATACTTACAGTTAGAAAGGCTGGCTGGGGATTAGACCCAGACTGGAGAGCATTCTTGTGCCACCTTGATGCCTTTGGGCTTGTCAATTAGAGCAGTCTGCAGAGGCATTCAGCCTGTAGAAGCAAGTGACTTGACCAGTGTTGTAGGAAGATAGCACAGGGCTAGGAGCGATGGCTACTGGCATGGTTGGCTTGTAGGTGAACAGTTCTATTTGGAAGTGACTTACTGGTCAAAAGGTTGTGCATTTTCCAGAGCCATAACAGATGGAGTAGCTTGACAAAGGTTTGTGGTACCCTTAATCTCCTCCCCACCAGGCTTTGGGTCTTCCAGCTGAACATGACGCTTCTGAGGGGTCTGGTTAGATTATGTCAGATGGAAAAGAGGGCAGAGAAAAAAAGGGAAAGAAATGAAAGGCTTCAGCAGAACAATTATCTCTTAGTTAGGACAATCTTTTGATGATTAATTGTAACAATCTCATGTAGGCGAGTCAAAGGAAGGAAAATTTACGGAGGCAAGGCCTAGTCCAGTTTCCCAGCATTTTTCCGGGTCTTCTCACATTCATACTCATCTTGAGGAGGAGGGACCCCTACCCTTGTCATGAGTACATACAATCAGGAACAACAAAGAAGTCAACTAAACAATAAAACAAGGCCTATGAACCTTTCACCTTGAAATGAAGTTCCTGCTTTTCTACATCTGCTAGAAATGTGGGAATTCTAGGGCCTTGTTTAGACTTCTGAGACCTGTCTGCCAGTGCATAAACCAAAACACAGCTGAAATGTAATGTGTGCTTTTTCTAATACCTGAAGATTAAAAGCTGTAAACAGCAAGGTTTTATTGTAGGTTTTTTTTTTTAACTTTCCCATTAAAGTAAGGATTGTGTAGTCTTTCTCATAACTACTGTGTCTGATGAGGGATTTCATCAGGTAGGTTGAGTGAGGAAAAACATCTTTGGAGGAAGGTGCATGCATAGGAGCAGCCTGTCCCAGTTCTCCATTCTGTTTCTCATCTGTGAAAGGGAGATAAATAAAACTAGTCATCTTGCAGAGTTGTCTCACCTACAGCCTTCTAAGAGGCATGAACTAAGCTCAAATGCATCGTTGTAGCCCAGTAGTAAGTACATGTGCTAGGTGACAATAGGTGCTGAATGTTTAACAAATGATTAGAAGTAAGGAATACAAGTCTAGCGATTTAGCTTAGTGGGAGTGTATGCTTATTAGAATGTGTGAGATCCTGGGTTCAGGTCTCAGCATAAGGATCCAGTGAGGGCAAAGAAATAATAAATGCTTACTACCAAGCATGTGATAGTTGCTCAATAGAGTATGTTTATTACTAAAACCCAAGTTATAGTAATAGGGAACCACTTAAAGCCTCAGAGTGGTATGTTGCTTATAACATAAAAATTTATATCATTAAAGTGGAGTTTTGCATTGCTAAATCCATCATGCTTAGAAATATGAAATTGTAAAATGCCTTCTTCAAATTGTTTTGCTTGTGGAAAAATACCAACAATTCATGTCATGCTTTTGTTTTTGTTTTGTTATTCATACCTGATTAAACATAATCTAAAGTTTACATGTATTGAGAAATCTAAACTTGAAACAATTCAATTAATTGTAAATAAGTACACAATTACTTGTATGGCATCTCCCTCTAGTTGAAGCTAATATTCTTTAGTTGTTGCTTTAAAATCCTTAAGTCTACTTCTTTTTTTGGGGGGGGGGTCCGATTGTGGGGCCTGAACTCTGGGCATGGGCACTGTCCCTCAGCTCTTCAGCTCAAGGCTAGCGCTTGAGCCACAGCGCCACTTCCAGCTTTTTTCTTTTTGCTTATGTGGTGCTGAGGAATGGAACCCAGGGCCTCAGGCATTCAAGGCTAGCGCTCTACCACTGAGCCACCTTCCCAGCCCCTTAAGTCTACTTCTCAAGCAAGGTAGAAATGTTGCAGCAAAAGCAAAAATCCCCACATCTGACTAAGGTATCTTGTGGAATGAAAGGGGAAAATATTTTTTTTAACCTTAGTGTTATAAATAATGTTGCTTCTTCCTTTCTACAACTAACCAAGGTACTCAATAAGTTAAACTCTTATAGTGAATGGACTCAGGGTAGTAGCTAATCTGCTATGCTAGATTACTTCCCAAATAAAGATAAAAAGGTCTTTTATAGGAAGGAGCTATTTGTATCCTGTCCATTAGAAGCTTCTGGAAAGCATATTTTGTGATGCCTTACTGTAACTCTTACAACAACAACAAAAAAAGATGTTATTTTCAACCCTAATGTGTGAACTTTTATTATTTGCTATGTGGTAAAGGGCTGAAAACAGTTAAGTGTGTTTTCTACCAATGAACCACAGTCAATGGCATGATTTAACACCAAGCCAGTGTCGCTCATATAAAGAGCTGATTTTCTTTTTCCTTTCCTTCAAACATTTCTTAAACATAAGAACTTTTATTTTGGTGGGGCGGGCACTATCATGGGGCTCGAACTTGGTCTGGGCACTGTCTCTGAGCTCTTTTGTTCAGGGCTAGAGCTCTACCCCCACTGAACTGCAGATCTACTTCTGGTTTTCTGGTGGTTAATTGGAGCTAAGAGTCTCACAGGGACTTTTCTGTCTGAGCTGGCTTTGAACCAGCTTTGATCTCGGCCTTCTGAGTAGGTAGGATTATAGGCATAAGCCACTGGCATCCACCTTAACATAAGAAATTTTTAAGAATAGGTTGTTGTCTTCATAAAAGCCACTAAGAATTATCTCATAAGAGTTTTTCACACTTTGGCAAGAGACTAGGCTGACTGCATTGAAGTCTCCCCTTCCTCAAGGAAAAAACAAAATCAGACATATACTCTAGCCTCAAAGAATTCACACTTTAAGAAGCAATGAAACAAGTACATTGATACATTCCGTCTAAAGCAGAACATGCCCAGCAACAAAAGAAAGGTCCAGAGAACTATTTATGGAATTCAAGTGTAGAAATCTCCACAAGGTCTATAGAGAGGGAATGGTGAAAAAGGTTAAACAAGCTGGCATTGTCTTTTACAAACAATACAAAAATATTTGGTGGATTGAATATAATCCTGCTTGTTTCTGCAAAAACTACGAAGATACCAATTAGTGTAGCACTTTCCCTTAAGAAGGCATAAGGAAGGCTGGGCAGCAGTGGCTCACACCTGTAATCCTGGCTACTCAGTCTGGAGGCTAAGATCCTGAGGATGGAGGTTTGAAGCCAGCCTGTAAGACTCTTATCTCCAATTAATTTACAACAACAACAAAAATCCCAAAACAACAACAAAAAGCTGGAATTGGAGCTGTGGCTTAAGTGGTAGAGTGCTAGCTTTGAGCAAAAAGACTCAGGACTGTACCCAAGCGCTAAGTTCAAACCTCAGGACCAGGACCCCCCCCCCCAAAAAAAAAGGCGTAAATAAGAAGCCTGGAAGTTTTGTGCTGGTGGTTTGTGCCTGTAATCTTAACTACTCAGGAGGCTGAGATATGAGGATCAGACATTGGTTCAAAGTTAGCCCGAGAAGGAATGTCTGTGAGACCCTTAACTCCATTTAAACACCAAAAGTGAAGCTGGAATTCAAGTGGTAGAGAACCAGCCTTGAGTGAAAAAGCTAAGGGACAGAGCTAGAAAGTAAGAAGGGAAGGAAGGAAGGAAGGGAAGGAAGGAAGGAAGGAAGGGAAGGAAGGAAGAAAGGAAGAGGGAGGGGAAAAAAGAAAGAAAGAAAGAAAGAAAGAAAGAAAGAAAGAAAGAAAGAAAGAAAGAAAGAAAGAAAGAAAGAAAGAAAGAAAGAAAGAAAAAGAAAGAAAGAAAGAGGAGGGGAGTTAAAGGTAGGTTAGTGACAAGGCCTTGGGTTTGATGCTCAAAACTTAAGTGTGTGTGTGGGAGGGGAAGGGTTGAGGTTAAAACAAAACAAAACAGAAAACTTGGGAAATCCAGAGAAGAGACATGATGTTATCACTACCATGAGGGAGCCAGGAAAAGATGAGTGTATGACTCAGGAAGTTTTCATGCAAAGTTGGAAACTGGTATCCAATTGAAATTTGGTTCACACAATATTTAACAACTTTAAAAAATCAGTTGTAAATCTTGATTTCGATTGTCTCTTCAAAAATTGCTGTATGTCACAATGGAATTCTATGCTTCCATCAGAAAGAATGACATTGCCCCATTTGTTAGGAAATGGAAAGACTTGGGAAAAATTATATTAAGTGAAGTAAGCCAGGCCCAAAGAAACATAGGTCCCATGGTTTCCCTTATTTGCAATAACTAGTATATATCTGAGACAAGCAGAAAAGGCCAGATAAGATGATGTTAAGTGGAAATGAACCCCAAGATAAGGACTCAAGCATTTTTTTTCTTTTTTGCTATTGTTTCTAAAGTATTTATAAGGTACCATGTGATTTTTTTGTTGCTTTGTATGTCCCTCCCCCATGGTATAACCCCTGCTTCACTTTATTTGATATTGGTATGATTTGGGGAGGGGAAGGGAAAAAACAAATTGTTTAAATACAGGTACAGGTGGACCCATTGCAACAATGAGATGTACAAGATTCTATGTCGAAAAATGAACTTTAC